GCCTAAGTTGCAGTGGACACCAGAGCCAATAAAATTATCTCAATCTTGAAAAATACTGAACTATCACATATTTTAGTGGAAGTTTAAATTTATGGTGCAATATCTTTGGAGAGCAACTTGATAATATCAGGTTTTCAAATGCCCATATTCTTTGACCTATCAGGTTCCACTTTTAGGAGTTTTATTGATTTACTTATGCATTATGAACAATAATTATAAGGATATTTGTTACAGTTCTGTTTGCATATGCAAAATATCTGAAAGGAGACACTGAACTATTAATGGGATTGCCTCCAGAGGAAAATGAGGGGTAATAGATTACAGTTCACTGTGTACCCCTTTATGCTATTTCATTTTCATACCATGTGCATATATTGGGTTCAATTCCTGGTCAAGGGCATACTAGTATACCTGGATTGCAGGTTCCATCCCAGCCTGGGTTGGGGTCTGTGCAGGAGACAACAAATTGATATTCTTTCTCATGTCGATGTTTTTCTCTCTCCCCTCCATCCATCACCTCCACACTCTTTAAACATCAATGGAAAAAATATCTTTGGGTGAGGATTAATAAAAATAAAAAAATAGGATTGATTGGTTACAGCGTGGATAAAGATGCTCAGCTTCATTATTTTGCCTAAGATAGGCAATCACCAGTGTTGCCGAGGATATGAGCAAAGAAGTATTTCTGGTGGGGAGTATAAAATGGCTTAACTGTTAAAAAAAAAAAAAAGAATATGACAATATGTGTCCAAGTTTCACCACATAATCTCTCTACTGACAACCCACCTTTAAAAAATTCATATAGAGATGTGTATAATCCTATATAATAAAGAGGTAATATGCAAAATGACCATCACTCCAACACACAAGATGGCCACCCCCATGTGGACACAAGATGGCCAGAAGGGGAGGACAGTTGGGGGCGACCAGTCCAGCAGGGGAGCAGTTAGGCATTGATCAGGCTGGCAGGGGTGTTTAGGGGGTGATCAGGCCGGCAGGCAGAAGCAGTTAGGGGTGATCAGGCAGGCAGGCAGACGAGCAGTTAGGAGCCAGTGTTCCTGGATTGCATGTGAGAGGGGTCCCAGATTGGAGAGGGTGCAGGCTGGGCTGAGGGACACACACACACACACACACACACACACACACACACACACCCTGTGCATGAATTTCATGCACCTCGCCTCTAGTGCGTGAGATAATAGAAAATATATGTATTGGTCCCTGACCCCAGTTCCTGGCACAGCTCCTAAAACCCTTTTAATTTTCTAAGTAAGAGCACTAGAAGCTTGTTTTGGTGGGGAGTATAAAATGGCCCTCTGGTCGCCCCCAACTGCCCTCCCCTTCTGGCCATCATGAGGTGACTGAGTGGGCTCCTGGATGGGGACTGGTCATCAGAAAGACTAGAAAAAGCTTGGAACTTCCAGACCTATTCCTCATACTCCAGAGGGGGAAGAAGGGCTGGAAATGGAGTCACCCATGTGAGGAAGATTCCATAAAATCCCAATCATAGGAGGTTTGGAGAACTTCCAGGCTGGCACCCTAACTCAATGGGGACTAAATTTGTGCTTGGGACCCACCCAGACCTCACCCTATGCATCTCTTCATCTGGCTGGTCATCTTTGTCCCTTATCATATCCTTTAATGAACTGCTGGCGTGTTTCCCTGAGTTCTGTGAGCTGCTCAAGCAAATTGATCCAAACTGAGGAGCGGGTTATGGAAACCTTTTATTTGTAGCCAAGATGAACAGCAGTTGTGGGTAACTTGGGGACCTATTACTTGCAAGGGGCAACTGAAGCAGGGTGGGAAACAGTTTTGTGGGACTGGGTCGATGTCCAGGTAGAGAGTGTCAGAATTAAATTCTTTGCAGCTGGTGTTGCAAAGAATTGCTTGGTGTGGGAAAAAACCCCTCCATATTTGGTGACCTTAAGTAAAGTGTTTCATGTGTAGTAAAGGAGACACACTGAAGAGAAACACAGAATTGGGTTCTTCTCCATGTAGAAAGAAAAAAAATCTTACCTACAAGTGAGGCTAGTATTTGAGAGGCTTTTAAAAAAACAGTAAATATTGATGAACATTGGCACCTTGGCCAGTGTGCTCAATGGTTGGGGCTTCGGCCCGCACACAAAAGGGTCTCGGGTTTGATTCCTGGTCAAGAGTACGTACCTCAGTTGGGGATTCACTCCCCACCCCCAGTAGGAACATGTGTGGGAGATAACCAATCGATGTCTCTCCCTCACATCAGTTTTTCTCTCTCCCCCTCCCTCCCTCCCTCCCTCCACTCTCTGAAAAGCAATGGAAAAAAATATCCTTGGGTGAGGATTAACAACAAAAAAGGAAATTGGCTAAATTGTTACTGTGTTGATACAATAAAGCCATCTAAAGATTCTATATATATATATATTTTTTAAATATATTTTATTATGCCCTTGACTGGGATCGAACCTGTGACCCTTCAGTCCCCAGGCTGACGCTCTATCCACTGAGCTAAACCGGTTAGGGCAAGATTCTATATTTTTATATTCATAAAATTGAAATAACTCCGTGGGGAAGATCTTAGACATTAAATGAGCCCTAGCTGATTTGGCTCAGTGGTTATAGTGTTGGTCCCTCAGACTGAAGGGTTGAGGGTTCAATTCTTATCAAGGCATGTCCTTGGTTGCAGGCTCCCTGGCTCCCATCAATGGATTTCTCTCTCACATTGATGATTCTCTGTCTCTCCCCTTCCCTTCCTCTCTCTAAAAATCAATGGAAAAAATATTGGGTGAGGATTAACAACAAAAAAAAACATTTTAAGTGAAAAAAATTGCAGAAATCTATATACATAGTATGATTCCACTGAGGGTTTTAAAAGTCCATGGTCCATGTTGAGTACCTGTGTGGACTTATGTTTAGTTTCCAGAGTGTGTGTGTGGGCGGGGGGAGGGGAGGGCAGAAGGCAGTGAAATATTTCTCTTCTGTGCATTTTGAAAATTTCTTATTAATCACATAGTTAAGATTTCTGGATTATACAGCAATCCAAATCCAAGTCACTGTCATTACTGGGAGGGTAATTTTGGAGTTCCTTAAATGTTTTCTCATAGGTAAAACTGTCCCAAATGATAGTGTTGGGGGACTCCTTCCATGTTGTCCTGAACCTTTCACGTGTCAGGCAATCTCCAGATTCTTGACTCATGCAGGAAAATTTTCAAGACAGAGTCCAGGTAAGTTTATTAAAGCTTGGGCCAGAGAGGCAAAGGAAGGGCCCCCTGGAGGCAGGACCTGGGGATAAGTCTGTGACAGCTGCTGCTGCTGCCCATGGTTCCCCTGGGACTCATCCGGAACCTTAGGACAGAAGGTGCAAAGTATATGCCTGAAGAAAGGGGGCACAGGCATGCTCAAAGAAGAGCACACACCAGGAGTTCTTTGTCCTGAGGGTTTTATCTATTTCTATGGGTGAGAATTTTAGGGGAGGCTCCAAGGCAGCAGCTCAACAATATTTACTAGACTTCTGGGTGTGTCCTTTGGTAACTGATGTATTAAAAGCTTGGGGTCATTTTCTGAGTAGTTTCACTTCTGTCTTGGATTAGTCTGGCTCTAATTGTGTTTTGTTATCTCCCTAAGGTGATTTAAACCACCTGCTCTTAGTGTTGTGGCAGAACGCACGGGAGTGTGATCAGCCGGCACACGGAGGGAGGAAAGTTTACCCTTTATTTCGAAGATCTGCTAGTCCAAAGCCTGAACTCAACTTGTGGGGAGGCTC